GGAGGAGCGGCTGTGGGGCGGCTGCGGCGGGGAGCGTTGGTAGGAGCCCGCGCTGTGGGCCGCGGGGTGCTCTCCGTCCTTCGGATGAACTCTGCACAGAGGAAGAGCCTGCGGTCAGAGGGACCCTAGCCGCCCCAGCCCACCCCAGCTTTCCATCCAGGAGTGCAGACTCCCGGGAAAGATGTCCTTGTTCCGCCTTCCACTCAGACCCTGAGGGTGGGGTGCCTCTTGGGGCACCAGTGGTGCTTCCTGGGTCACCCTGGCCCCACAGAATGCTGGCCTGGAGCTGGGTGCAAGTTGATTCTTCAGTCATTCTGCAAACATTCGCTGGCAGCTGCTTTGTGCCAGTCTGCTGCTGGGTGTCCCCTCACCCCCAGCCCTGCCCTCCTGGGAGCCCCCAGTCTGGCTGGGGAAGGCCCCTCACACTAAACCTATGAGCGCAGTGGAAGGGAAGGGGTGTCTGGGAGGGCTTGTCAGAGCAAGTCTACTCTTTGGTGCACAGGTGAGGAAGCTGAGGCCCAGAGGTAGGGAAGAACTGCTGAGAGTGGGAGGCAAACGGGCAGGAGGGGACCGGGACTGCCCGGGGCCCCCGTGCTCAGGGGAAGCTGTTTCCTCCAGGGTCCCGAGGCTGCCGGCCCCACTGCCCATCACAAGGGGTGGGATGGGAGCTCTCTGGAGGTGGGGCTGGGGCCCACACTGACCAGAGGGGGTGAGGGCAGGACAGGGACCCCTGCCCAGCTAGCCCTCCACAGGGCCTGGACACAGCAGGCGTTGGGAAGCTGAAGTGGACGGTTCCCTCTGTCCCTGTAAGACGTGGCCCTCACACTTAGCCCTCGTCAGCCACAGGGACCAGCCTCACTCTACCTCAGACACTCTGCCAGGCGCCACCTCCCTCAGGGGAGGCGGGACCCCCAGACCACTCAGTCACTATGGGGAGGGATCCAGGGCCACCAGCCCAAGCCCTCTGAATCCCCTACCTCAGCCAGTCCCACCTGGAAAACCACTGAGATGGGGGCTGAGAAAGGGCCTTGATACAAAGCCAAGCACAGGCTGGGGCCAGAGCATCAGGACACATCGTGACATGAACCAGATGCACCGCCCCCCCCAACCTGGCCCCCACTCCACCCACAGGGAGGGACTCGGGCTCCCCAGGCTGCCTGACTTCTCCACTTTGGCTCTTGGACTGCCACCCCCAACGCCCCCGACCCCTGCAGTGCACCCTTCCTTTTGCTTCCAGGCTCAACCCTCAGCATCCAGCATCCCCCTCCCCCTTTCCCCAGTTCTGAGTGATCTGGGGCCCCATGGCACCTGGCACACACTTCTGTCACAGGGCCTGGGATACTAAATGACTTCTCTGTCTGTCTCCCGTGGCCCCAGCATCCAGCACAGAGCGGGTAACTAACAAAAATGCCAGAAACTGCTGAATGAGTAACTGGAAAACTCGCCAAGGCCCAAAACCAACTGCGGTGAGAATGAACTTCCCAAAACACCGAGCTGATCCCTTTCCCCAGCCTCCCTCTACCCGGAGCACCTCTTCCTCTGGGCTGGGCACCCCCACCCACCCAGGTGCCCCACCTCCCCCTTTTCCTCTCCCTCCCACACCCAGTCCGCCAACTGTGAACCTGCTGGGCACACTTGGCCTGCTGAAGTGTGTCCTTTGGCCTGCAGGATGGTTTTTAAAATTTTGAACTAGTTGCCAACATTTTCACATCAGAAGATTGTACGTAAGACTCCGAGAAGGCAGGGACCCTATCCATCTTGCTCAGTGTTACATCCCCAGTATGAAGCACGTGTGTGTGGTAAATGGATGGATGGATGTATGGATGGATTCCCTCCTTGTCTGAAGAACTGGGAGGTCTGGCCACACTGGGTCTCTGTTCCTGCCTAGCTGGGGCCCAGTGGAACAGTCCCTCTTTGGGGCACCCCATTTTCAGTTGGCCCCGGATCCCACAGGCAGTCATTGTGGCTTTGCCTGCACCGCCTCCCTTCTCCCCACCAAACTTGTCAAAATGGAACCATCTCATGCAGGCCCAGCCCAAACGTCCCCTCCCCTAGGGGCCCTTCTTCTAGAATAACTCTTTCCAGTCCTGCTCACACACATTCATATCCTCTTTCTCTGTCCCTCCCGAGAAGTGAGTGCACCTTGCCTGGCATCAGCTATTTCTCCCCTTGCTGTGCCCCCTCTGAGGCCTGTAGCTACTTCAGGGCACTCCCACCCATGGTCTGGGACAGGCACACACCACACAAGTGGATGGGTTTAAGGAGTCCCACCCTCCTTAACTGAATGTCTAATGTGTGCCAGGCGTGGGCTAGGCGCAGGGGCTGAGGAAGGGCATCCAGGTCCAGCTGGGAGGACCCACATCTGGCGGAGGGCGGCTGGGTGTGGGCTGCAGGGGCTGCCCGCGCCCCCTGCGTCCCTATTGGTGGGCACTTACTTTCTTTGGGCACAAAGCGGACGAGCCGGCTCCTCACCTTCACCTGGGCAGGGTGGATCCGACACTTGCCAGGTGGTGCCCGTCTGCCAACACACAGGAGGTCGTGAGTCCCACCCTGAGTGTGCCCCCTGACATCGCTCTCCCCCTGCAGCTGGGCAGGGAGGGGAAGGGCCGGGGTGCACTCAGGTGTGGACAGTAACAACAGTGGCCATTTATGGAGTACCTACTGTATGGTCTGCAGCCTCCCTGCTGCCCCAGGCCCCCAGGGCACTAAGAGCGACAGGAATCCCTATCACAGCCTGCGAAGAGCCGGCTCAGCCTCTGCCTGAAGAGCACGGGGGCCAGGGGCTCAGCCTTCCCTGAGCCACTTCTAATTCAGAGCGTGAACTGTCCTTGGAATGTGATCAAATGTCACGGTCCTTCTCCTCCCCAGCCTGCCAGTGCGACTCCTGTAGCTGTCTCTGCAGCCCAATTCCTGCACCCTGCCCTGGCCCCCAACCCCCACAGCCTTTGAGGAGGGTCTCTTGCTGCCCCTCTAGTTCCTGGATTTCTGGTACTGCAGAATCTGAGAGGTTCCTCCACCTGGGGGAACCAGGGAAAGGTCACGACAATCTAAAGAATAAAGTGGAAGAGAGCGAAAGCCTCAGGGCTGACGGCAGAGCAGAGGGATCTGGGGGCCTTGGAGGGTGGGGTTTGAGAGAGCTGGGAGAGAAAAGAGTCAGAGAAGGGTTGCCAGGGCTGTGAATTGGGTCTCCTTTGACATCTTTGAGGGGCACAAGCAAGGAATGGAATCCCATTTTAATTAGGTTTTGGCTGGCGATCTGTGAGTCTTTGAATGGGACCGACCCTACTGTGGGGTGACCCACGTGGGCCCAAGACTTCAATAGGTTCCAGCAGCACGAGGGGAAAGCCTACGGGGTGAAGCAGCCACGTGACACGGGGTGGCTTCCAGACAGCTTGGCAAGAGAGGGAAACTGAGGAGGGACGTGGGCCTCTTCCCCCAGAGGTTGAAGGAACACAACCAGGCACACCCACTTCTCGAAGCTGCAGAAAGGGCAGGTTTTCTGGTTGCTCTGAACTCTAAATAATATTCACGCTTCACACAGACCCAGCAGGGTTCTGTTCCTCAAGAAAATTACGTAAAAAATCTTTGCTGCAGGGCCAGCCTGGTGGCATAGCGGTTAAGTGCACGCGCTCCACTGCGGCGGCCCAGGGTTCGCAGGTTGGGATCCCAGGGCGTGCCCCGACGCACCGCTTGTCAAGCCATGCTGTGGCAGCGTCCCATATAAAGTAGAGGAAGATGGGCTTGGATGTTAGCCCAGGGCCAGTCTTCCTCAGCAAAAAAGAGGAGAATTGGCATCGGATGTTAGCTCAGGGCCGATCTTCCTCATAAAAAAAAAGAAAAACAAAAAAACTTTGCTGTGCAAAAGGGTAGGAAATACACCACAAAAATGCCACAGCGGTTATGTTTGGGTGGTAATAGATGACCCCACCCCACGCCCTCCACTTCCCAATTCTTTGTTTTCCAAATGTTCTGTAATGGGGCCCCTATGCAATATATTGTGGATGCAAAAATCCACATTTATTCCGAAAGAGAAAAATGGAAGAGATGAGAAGGGTCAGGGAGGGAGGGAGGGAAGGGAGTCTAGCCTGCTTCTGGCTTCTCCAACCCATGAGACTGAGCTGGAAAACTCCCTGAGTCCCTGTTGTGGGGGATAATGAGCCGATAGGGTGCTGCCCAAGCCAAAGGAGCTGACGGGGCTAAGGCAGCATCTGGCGTGAATTAGCTGCTCCGTGCATGTGATATTTCCTTAGAGAAGCACTCTTTTTTAAAAAATTGGAAATAACCTAAATGTCCGAGGAATGCGTAAGACAATTATGGCAGAATGACTCAACAGAAAATCATGCAGCCATTGAAAACGATCCTTTTGAGGGTGATGTTGCAACGTAGAAATGTTTATGCAAAATAGGGATAAATGCACAAAGAAAAATGCACAGTTTGCGTGTGCTCCTCTGCAATGACATAAATCCTGGCGCTAGGCAGATAAAGATGGATGAGACCTCAGGAAAATGAAAAGCAGGGCATGAGAGGAGGAAGTGCTGATGCTTTTCTTGATAATAGTTATGTCAATAATTAATAGATCCGAGCTTTAAAAAAAAAAGTGTGGTTGGGGTCGGCCGGTGGCGTAGTGGTTAAGTTCACATGCTCCACGTCGGTGGGCTGGGGTCCGCATGTTCCGACCCTGAGCATGCACCTACGCACCGCTTGTCAAGCCATGCTGTGACAGATGTCCCACATATACAGTAGAGGAAGATGGGCGTGGATGTTAGCTCAGGGCCAATCTTCCTCAGCAAAAAGGATGTTCCTCACCAAAAAAAAAAAGTGTGGTCAACAGGGAATGTCCAGAAGCTATCACCGACCACAGGATGCTCAGGAGACATGAAGACTAGATGTAATGTGGGATTCTGGATGGGATCCTGGAGCGGAAAAAGGGCACCAGGGAAAAACTGGAGAAATCCTTTCTTAAAAAGTGTGGAGGGCCAGCCCGGTGGCTTAGCAGTTAAGTGCGCACGCTCCGCTGCTGGCAGCCCAGGTTCGGATCCCGGGCGCGCACTGACGCACAGCTTCTCCGGCCATGCTGAGGCCACGTCCCACATACAGCAACTGGAAGGATTTGCAGCTATGACATACAACTATCTACTGGGGCTTTGGGGAAGCAAAAAAAAAAGGAGGAGGATTGGCAATAGATGTTAGCTCAGGGCCGGTCTTCCTCAGCAAAAAGAGGAGGATTAGCACGGATGTTAGCTCAGGGCTGATCTCCCTCACCAAAAAAATAAAAAATTAAAATAAATAAAATAAAAAGTGTGGAGTTACTTCAATTAAAAAAGAAGTGTGGAGTTTAATTAATAGTAATGTATCAATATTGGTTCATTATCTGTGACAACTGCAACATGATAATGTGAGATGTTAAGAACAGAGGACACTGGGTGAGGGGTATAAGGGAAATGCTGTACTATCTTTGCAACTTCTCTGTAAACCTAGAACTATTCTAAAATTGAAAAAAAGAATTATTTTTTAAAAATGTGATGGTGGGGCCTATGTTTCTCAGCCCCCATGCGTATCTCCGGCTCCCACTTATCGTGAAAAGAGCTGGACTTCGAATCCTGCTTTTGAATCCTGGGTCTGCCCCTCACCAGCAGTGTGGGCTTGGCTAGTCACTTCCCCTCTCCCAGCCTCAGTTTTCCCATCTGAACCATGGGGATATTAACAAAACCCACGTCAGGGAGTGTAGACAGGGAAATGAGGCGATGGAGGAGCTCAGGCAATGCCAAGGGCAGGGACTCACCTGGAGGGGTCGATCACTTTGTAGACCACCCCACGGGCCACGGTGGCACTCGGCACGCCCGTTGACATGAAGTACAGCTCCCCTAACACAAGAAACAGGTGAGGAGTGAGGACACTGTCCCGGCCAGCCTCATGCCACCTACTGCAGGCTCTGAGACAGACCCTAAACTTGGCGAGCCATGAGGGGGGCGTTCCAGGTCAGCGTAGCTCTCCAGTGCCCACAACTGGAAGCCAAGGCTGAGAAAGGCATCCAGAGATGCCCACAGGCCTCTGCAGCGCAGTCTCCCTGGCTACCAGCTGCTCGGCCCGGACCCGCCAGGCTCTGACCTCCACTCTTGTCTCCTTTGGTGACCCAGGCCCATGCCTGGTCCCTGCCTGGGTTTCATGCCCAGCACCGCACACCTCTGGGCACACGTGAGGGTCCACAGCCCAGCTCCCCACTAACTGCTTACTGGCTCTCTGAACCTCAGCTACCCCATCCCCACAGGGGATGCCTCCTAGGGCTCTTACAGGATTAAAAGAGCACAGAGTAAGTGCTCCATCGGTATTCGCTATTATTGCTGCTGTTACTGTCATCGTCATCCAGGATCCCCGTCCTGCAGAGTCCTTGAGGCCAGAGTCTCTCTCCACTGACCAGCAGGCAGAATACAAGCTCGGGGAGTCCCTGGTGTGAATCCAGCCCCTGCACCTAGCCCCGGGTGAGCGCCAGCAGCTCTGACAGCACCACTCCGAGCCTCAGTTTCCCTCCACCTCTCAGGGCTGTAGTGGAAATGCAGCGAGGAGAGTTGTGAGCACCTGGCGCCATGGACGCTCTCAGCGAATGTGAGTTCTCCCCTCTCCCCTCACCCCCATTCTGCCCCCAGCCCTTGCCCCTACCTGTGCCTGGGTTTCATTATTCCCATCTTACAGGTGAGAAAACAGAGGCTCAGAGAAGTCAAGTGTCTTATCCAAAGTCACACAGCTGGTGAGAGGTTAAGCAAGGCCTGGAACTCAGGAACATCTGCTGCCCCCAAGCCCACACCAACGTAGGACACATGGTGGCTGGGAGGCCCAGATACAGGCACATGTGACTCAATGTGATGGTTCAGCCATGCTAGTACCTTCTGTCCTTGTAGGACAGTGGAAAGGTCTCCCAAAGGGGAGGTGTGGTTTCCCCAAGGAGAGGCCAGACAGACAGCAAGGTGGAGCTTGGAGGAAGGCATGTCCCTGGTGCAGGCAGTGAGGGCGGCATGGGGGTGGGGTCTGAGAATCAAGGCCCAGGAAACCAGGGGAATTCCATGAAGGGGAAGACACTTGAGAGGTGACTTGTGTAAATGGGGTAGACCCAGCTGTGGCGGGGAGCTGGGGGCTGGGGAGGGCAGGATGCGAGTGGTCAATGGCCTCTGACCCCCTCCAGGAGCACCAGCTCTGCTGGGTGGGGGGTAGTAGGCCCACGCAGTGATGATGTAACCTGTGGGAGGGAGCCGGGTATCCTTTCCGGAGAGAGGCCCTTGGGAGCCCGTCTCCTCCCTGGATGTGCAGCCCTTGCACCTACCCTCCTGTCCCCTGGGGCAACTCGGGGCTCCCTGCACACACTGCTCCCTCAGCTGGAAGGCCTTTCTCCATTGTCTTCCCTTGGCTGACCAAGCTGGAGTTTGAGGCCCTGCTCTGGAGGCCTCCAGGGGCTAGGCTAGGTACAGTACCCACCCCCCGACCACCACCCCATGACTGGGCATGAGTAGTCAGCCTCGGTTTCCCCATCTGTAAAGTGACTGGGTTGGACTGGGCACACTCCAAGGCCCCTTCCAGCCTTAATATGCTGGGAGCCACGGCCCCAACCCCTGCACGGGCAGGGAGCCCCCACTGGCACTGTTAAGCCCCGCCGGGGGCCATGCTGCCCTCTTGATCTCTGCCATGTGGACTGTCCCAGGGGGACACTGGGCCAGCAGAGGTCCTTGTTGAGCAATTTGCAAGTGTCAGAAGAACAGCTAGAGAGACGGGAGCGGGAGCTGGGAGCTGGGAGAGGTTTGTTTGCATTGGACCCCAGGCCTTCCCGGAGCCGCCTGCCTGAGCTCACAGACAAGCTGTCCCTGGCTGTCTGTCTCAGAGGCGCCTGCTCCTGGCTGTCCATCACTTGGTGTCAGAGGGCTGAGGAAGGGCCCCTCGGGAACTGTACCTTCCAGGCCCTGCCTCTGTGGAGGAGGGTTGGGGGGAAGGTGCAGAGAGAGCAGTCTTCCTTCCAAAACACCTTAACCCCCTATTGACCAAAAGAAAGGGCTTTCAGGGGCCTGGTGAGCTTGGGGAGGGCAGTGGGGGCTGAGCCTGCCCTTTTGAAAATTTAGATTCTGACGGTTGTCGGTTCAACAAAGGTTTCCCAGACTCGGGCCTGGGGGCTCTGGGCACCAGGCCCTGCAGGGGACACCTTTGAAAGGCCCTCGGGTGGGCGTTGCCTAGCAACCCAGCCAAGCATCCACCAGGCCCCACTGGGGGCCCCTCGGCTTTTGTCCAAGGACAATCCCAGGGCCAAAGACAAAGGCAGGAGGCTGGAGCAGGATGGAGCCTCTGTGGCCCGTCTCCCTCTCCCCTCCCCCATTTCTCGCATTGAAAATGCAAGTGCCTGAATGGGGGACCCCCTAACAGGCAAGAGGCGGTGCCCACCCTCTTTCTGAAGACAATGTGGCTTCATTTTACAGGCCCAAATACATTTTGCCACCAGGAATGGAGGTCTGGGAAGGACTCTTCCCTCACCTGCTGCATTTCCACCATCACCGAGCCTTTCCTGGTCCGCTACCCGCCCCGGACTCCTACCCGTGTCATCCTCTAACCTTCACAGCAACCCTGCCCAAGGCGGGGAAGATGCTGCTCCCATCTTCCAGATGAGGACTGATGCCCAAGCAAGGTCTCAGGCCCACTGAACCCCTCCCTCCCCAGTCTGAAGGTGATTTCAGGCCTGAGATCCAATCCCTTGAATCCCAGGCCAGAAGGACCCACGGGGTGGGGGGACCAGCCCCAGCCATGATGATGGAGAGCCCTCAGGAGTTCTCACCAGCCTCGTCCTCCGCGAAGGAGATGATGTACGGATAGTAGTTGTTGATGAGGCCCGGGAACTCGCAGGTCTGGCCACGGCCCATGCAGATCTCGCTGTACCGCCACTGGCCTGTCTCTGGGTTCTCTCGGAGGGACATCAGACGCCTACGAAGGAGGAAGAGCTGTGGAGTCATGTGTGGCATGGTGCCCAGGGAAACCCCACCCACCATTCCATCCATCCATTCATCTATTATCCACGCAACCAGGACCAGACATAATCTGCAGGGTCTAAAGTAAAATGAGCACGTAGGGCCCCTTGTTTAAAAAGTATTAAGAATTTCAAGACATTGAGGGCAGAGCATTATACCAAGTGTGGGCCCTTCTGAGCATGGGGTCCTGTGCAGCTGCACAGGCTACACATCCATGAAGCTGGCCCTGCATGCAATCTATGTACCAGGGGGAGGAGACCAGCTCGGTCCCTGCCCCCTCAGCTCAGCCCCGCCCACTGACCAGCAGGAGGCAGGCAGGAGCTGACCTAGGTTTCAGAACCCTCCCAGGCTGGCACCCAGGAGTCTGTATATACTTTGGAGCTGCCTCCACTTCAGAGCATGAGATGGAGCTTGGGCATCTTTCGAATATGCTGATCTCGCCCCTTACTCCTGTCACCGCCTGTCAATCACCTGCTGATACTCCAGGCCCTGCTCAGATGGCCCCTCTTCTGGGAGGCCCTCCTGCCTGCCCCTGCACTTGGCTTCCCCAGCACTGTGCACAGACTCTCTGAGGCTGGACCGGAGTGGACCGAGTGTGGGTCTGTCTCTCTGACTTGGGTGTGAGGTGCTCTTCAACAGCGTCGCTCTGGCCCTGGCACAAAGCCTGACCCAGCAGAGGGGCTTGGGAAAAGTTGGCAAAATTAGTTGAATTTCTGTGGTCAGGTGACTTGGCAATTCTGGGGGAGGGCGGAAGGGGATAGGAGAATCGGGGTAAAAACAGGCTTCATCCAGACCCATTTTCCAGATGGGATAGCTGAGTCCCAGAGGTAGACCCCAAGGAAGGGGCGGAGCTGGAAGAAGGATCCAGCATCCAGGGACCCAGGTCAGGATTTTCTCTCAGCTCCAGGTGCAGACGTACTGGCCACAAACCCACCCAGGTCAGCAGCCTGCACAAGGTGAGAATTCTCCTGCCAGCCTCAGATTCCTTACTTCCTCTCCTGAGGAACCCTATTCAGCCACCCTCATGTGCAGAGGCTAGGGTGGGAATAATTAAGAGCCACCAGATATTGAGCACATACTAGATCCTAAATGCCATATATGTATTAATTGATTCAGTCCTCAGACAACCCTAGGAGGCAGGTACTATGATCATCTCCATTTTGCAGATGGGGAATGTGGGCACAGAGATGTGAATTAACTGGCTCAAGGTCACACAGCTAATAAGTGTGCCAGGACTCAAACCCAGGCAACCTCAGCTGCACTTTTAAACATCATGCCAGGTGTATATCTTCTCTGGGCCTCTATGGTCGTCAGTTTTCTCCTCTGTACAATGGGAGAACAAGGTGGTTATGAGTCTCCATAAGTTGCCCTGGGAAGAGTCGGCCCACAGCAGGCTGGGGAGGTATGTTCGGGGTGTGATTCATCCCCACCCCCCATGTCCCCACAGCCCCCACACACCATCTAGCGGCTGGCTGGGTGGAGGAGGTACTGCCATACATACAGGTGGGAATTGGGCAGCAAGGCTCTATGGGCCCCCACGGTCAGTCCTCAGCTGGAGCCCCAGCTCCCCTCTCCCAGCAGGCTGACCACTCCTGCACCGATGCTCCCTACGGCTCCAGTCAGTTGGTGCAAAGACAGGTCCTGGCTTCCTCAGGAAAGAGATGGCCCGGAGCCTGTCTAGGAAGTTGCTCCTGTTCCCCTACCTTCCACCTCTGCCCTCCCTGCCCCTCAGAACTGCTGTCAGGCCGCTTACCCGCTCATGAAATCGCCGAAAATGTAGAGGCCGTTCAGGTTGGGGTACTCGCAGCCCCGGTACACATAGCCCCCCGTGACGGACTTGCCCAGTTTGTGCGGGTAGGCGAAAATCGGCAGCACGTCGTCTGCAGAGCGGAGAGAAGCCGGGGTGAGTCTGTGGCCTGCGGGTCATCGGTGGGGCCAGCCCCTCGCCCACAACAAACCTTCGTGGTGGTCCCGAGTCTTGCGGGGCAAGGGGATGTGCGGTCACTAGGAAGGCCCACAATGGGGCCCCAGATAGTCACCCAGGGAGGAAGGTGCTTACAGCTTGCAAAGAGCATGGGTTTGCAGGGGTAGAGAGAGTGAGGTGGAGAGCGGAGAGGAGAAGAGCTAGGAGCAGCCCAGGACAGGTGGGGAGAGGGGACGAAGCGAGGGGAGGTCCCGGGGAAGGGCGCGGGGGTCCCCAACGGAGGCATTGCGCACATCCAGTGGGGTGGATCCAGGTCCAAGGGATCCCCAGGGGCGCGGGCGCACAGCTGTGGGGGAGGGGGGACCGATCCGGGCTGGGGGGTCCCCGGGGCGCGGAGAGGGCGGGGGGCGGTCACCGAGGGAGACGTTGGCGCACAGCTTGCGGTCGTAGCACTCGAAGCCCTCGCGGGCGCGCCAGCCGTAGTTGCGGCCGCGCTCCACCAGGTCCACCTCCTCGAACTTGTTCTGGCCCACGTCGCCGCAGAAGAGGCGCCCGCGGCCCGCGCCCGACGCCGGGTCGCCGCGGTCGAAGGAGCAGCGCCACATGTTGCGCACGCCCAGGGCGTAGACCTCGGGCCGCGCGGCGGGGTCGCCCACGAACGGGTTGTCGGGCGGGATGCGGTAGAGCGGGCCGCGCTCGTTGCGGTCCACGTCGATGCGCAGCACCTTGCCCAGCAGCGCCGACCTGCGGCCGGGGGAGAAGGCGCCGGCTCGGGGTCGCCCTGTGCCAGGGCGCTCGGCCACCGCGGGCGGCGGCAGGGGCCGGGGGCCAACGGCACAAGTCCACCTCTGCTGTGGGGCCAGAGACCCCAGGGCATCAAGTCCTCCGCAGCTCCTTACCAGCTGGGTAACCGCAATCATTCATTCCGCATGTATCGGGCACCTGACTGTGTGCCAGGCCCTGTCTCAAGCATTGAACACGCTTGCCATCTATTGCTCCTTTCATCAAACCTTCTAGGTAGGTGGGTACCACTGTGATCCCCACGTTACAGGTGGGGCCACTGAGCTCAGAAAGGTCACAGAATGTGCCCAAGTGCCACACAGCTAGTAGATGGTAGGGCTGGGGTCCAGCCCAGGCAGAAACGCCAGCTCTTTAGGACAACACTCTTTCTACCCTCCCTATGCCTCACCTGTAACATTAGGTGGTCCCTCTCTTTCCTGCCTTACAGGGTTGTGCCACAGAGCAAAAATGCTTCTAGAAAAATGACTCGTATTTACGGTTTTCATCCAGCACCGTGAATCATGAAGTGTTTGCTGAGTGAATGAATGAACGATTGCAATCAAAGTCAAGTGCACCACACGGAGAGTACAGGTCAGGACTGGGAGAGGGGAGAGGGCGCTGCAGATCTTAGCAGGAAACTGAGGCTGATGTTCCTGCTTTCTCTCCCACACACCCCCAGGGCCTTCCTGGGCGGAACCACAGCCTGTCAGAGAGCGGACAGGCCTCAGTGGAGGTTCAGTTCCTCCCACACCCACCACCCCTACCTCAGCCCAGGTTCTGAGAGGGGGACGACTTGCCAAGTCCCCCAGGGAGCTCTGGACAGAAGCCGGGCCACTCCACGGCGCCATGCAGCTTCTGGGGCTCCTGGAGGGAGAGGACGTTAGGTCATGCCTTCCAGAGCCACGTAGAACAGGGGTTCGGCCCTAACCTCCACGAAGCTCCTAGGGGTGAGTAGCTGCTTGTGGGTTTCATTCGTCACATGACAGAGTGACACATGATGGGGAAACTCTGCAATGTCCTTGAAGATGTACTGAGGAGAACACATCCTTTTTGTCTGTGATTTTTGAGGCACCTATGTAATGACCACATGGTTTTTTCCTTGCCGTTAGCATTTTGCTGTACCCCCTCCAGGCAGGACTGGCATGGTTTGCCCATTTGATGAACTTTGTACCCGTCATTCTCACGCAGCATCAGCACCCACGCATTTCCCCCACCATCAAAGACATCTCACAAGTGTCCTCTATTAATGGTGACAAACGCTCCCACCCAAATAGATGCCCCCCAGTTAATCCCCTATTACCGACATTCAGGTCTTGCCCCAGTGAGCTCCTCCCCTCCCATACCCTCCAGCCTGCTCGGCACCGAGCTGCAGATTACAGCCCGGAGCCCACACACCACGCACAGGCTTCCATATGTAAGTGGGCAAAACTCACAGCAGTGAAATTATGTTTTAAGTTCTGTCCAATTATCCACAAATCCTTAATTTCTATTTTCTCAACTTCATCTCTAAACACATCCCAAACAAGAGAAAGCTGCAATGATTCTTCCACTGTCACATATGAAAGCACAAGTCACACATTGGGAACACTTTAATTACCGTAATCAACATCACACTCGCTATTTTTACTTTCTGGGCTGAGGAAGGTTGTGTCATTTTGGCTACGAGAGTGGAGGAGGCTGCCCTGAGACTCCTGGATATCCTGGTCTACACTCACAAGACTCTGTGTGTGTGTGTGTGTGTGTGTGTGTGTGAGGAAAGGAATGGCGGCAGGCCATCTGCTCAGGCCAGGAAGTGGGTAATTGAGAGCAAGACTGTGCTTCAATTTCTGGGCCATCCTGGGTGACCCTCGGGGCAGAAAACCCACGGCCCACACGACCCTGCTCCAACTAGCTCACACTCCCCCTCTGGTCTGGGAAGTACGCTTTCCTTACCCTGGTTCCTGCAGGGCTGGGCTGACCAGAGCAAATCTCATCTTCCCAGAGGCTCTCTGATGCCACTTCTCAGGAAGCTGTGACAAGTGGGCTCTGCGCCCAGCCCTCGACAAACACGATCGCCTTTACTCCCCACGACAAGCCTCCCCGTGGAGACGATTATTTCCCTCTAACTAATGAGAGCAAGCGACTTGACTGGGGTCCCCAGCTGGCTAGCTGCAGGCTGAGCTAGGGCCCAAAGCCCTTTCTAAGCCCTACACTGCATGGCGCCAGAAGAGCACGTAAACCAACCCACCAGCCAGCCCAATCAGAACATACTTGTTTTGAGCATTTCCAAACTTTCCGAAGGGGTCTCCGGCCATCCCGCCATCTCCAGTGAAGATATAGAGGTACCCATCGTCCCCAAAGAGGAGCTGGCCCCCATTGTGGTTCGAGGCTGGTTCTTCAATCTCCAGGATTATCCTAAAAGAAGATTAACCCCCCACCAAAAAAAACCTCAGCCTTCTGCACAGGAGCCAAAAACACAAAACAAGATCACAGCAATTACCATTCCTCTCGCTCGGATGCCATTTCACAGTCGAAAGACTTCATTTCCTTTACAGCAGGTGATTTTTACAAGGATCTGGTAGGCTGGGCAGGGATAGTTCACTCCACTGCACCAATGAGGACCTGGAGGCTCAGAGAGGTTGAGCAACTTGCCCAAGATCACACAGCCCATAGGTAGCAGATCCGGGACTAGAATTCAGGTCTTCTAGTTCTGGTCTAGTGCTTTTTCTACTGCTCCCCACTGCTAGCACCTGCCCTGTTATGATCACGTGAAACTGTTGACCCCATCACCGGCACAGCTGGTCTCTTCATCATCATAACTACCCACACGCCAGCCACTTCAGCTGAGCATTTTCTACACAGTCCCTCGTTTGTCATTTACCATAACTTCTGAGGAGGTGGGCTGGATGGTGTGGGTGTGCTCAGCTCTACACTCACCCCTCAGCCACCTCCTTTACTGCCATGGTGGGAAACCTTCCACTCTACTGCCAGCCAGCTGGCATCTGGTTACAGCTTGCCCATGGAGAGTGGAAGGCAAGCGGAGGGGAGAAGCCATGTCTCCCGGGCTTCTGGCACTGCCTCCAGAAGTGCGGTTGAGGAGATGGCAACAGTGGCTGGTGAACGTGGACTCCTGGGTGTCTGCCCAGACAGCTGGGTACTGGGGCAGCAAACTCAGCAGCACAGACTGTTCCCTGTTCTTCCTCTAGCTTCTTGTGGTTACTAACCTTCAGGTAACTCAACCTTCCCTTTCCCCTCTGCAGCCCTCCCAACACCTGTGTAGACGACTCCTTGTATTAAATTCCCTCCGACCAAAACGCTTAGGCTGGTTTAGGTTTTCTAGTATTGGTCACGGATCTGTTAATCCCTTATTAATACAGATAAGAAAAGAGACCAAGTAACTTGAACCCAGGGTTTTGGCTCCTTCAGAGCCAAGACGAGAAGGCTTTCTGTTTCGAGGCCGACACCCGTGACTTGGTGAGCAGTACACAGCCCCGAACTCCAGATCCTCCTCCATAAGGAGGACAACTCAGACTGTTGGCCATCCACTTCCCATTGGAATCCCAGCCCTGGGAATAGAGACTGACAGCTGACTCAGCCAAGGGCGACCACTCATTCCTGGCCCTGCCCTGAGCCAGCCATACCTACCCCTCCCCCTGCATGAGTCAAGTTCCAGGCTTGTACTTGTGAGGTCCCCAGAGGACCCTCACTGAACTCTCACTCCAAAATATGTTCATCTGTATATGTTGTGTATATCCACCTTCAGTCTTTATCAAGAATCAGCTTTTAAAAGTCACTATTGAAGACACATCCGTTCTGTCCCTCTGTCTCCCCTCTGTGAGATCCATGTAATAAACTTGGTCTCTCTTGGAGAACTGGTTGTGCAATAAGATGAGAATTATGTTTTCTCCTTTTACTCTGGCTGCCAGGAAGCTCATAGTCAAAATTAACGCTTCATGACAAGATCAATATTTGCCCTCACAGCCAGCATATTTGATTCCTTCTCCTTTGTATACTTTCCCTGTCGAGATTTTACAGGTTTATCAAATTCGTGCTGTGCTGTTATTTGCCTATTTGCCCTCAGATCCAGTCCTGGCCCTCCTCCTAACTGCTCTCTACTTCAGAGGGCCAGCTCTGCAAACTACATTTCCCATGCTCCTTTGCTAGCTGGCCTCTAGCTAGGTTCAGCCAATGGAAGGCACTGGCAGGAGGTTGGAGGGTGCGAGGAAGGGAGAAGCCAGGGTGTTTCCCCCATCTCTTTCTCTGCTTCAGGCAGCATCTTGGCAGTAGCCGCACCTCCTCCCTGGCTCCAGTTCCCCCTGCCAGGCCCGCCCAGGTCCAGCTTCCAACAAGGGTCCCCAGCTCCGGGGCTGCAGTAACCCCACCCCTCACTCTGTCTTTCCAGCCCAAGAAATAGAGGCAGCATCCTTCAGTTGTTAAACTCAGAGTCGCCTCCCTTCCTCCCCAGGTTGCTCTTTCCTCCTTTCTAACACCCGAGTGACTAATTCCCAGTATCAGATTCTGCCTATTGAATTGCCCGGTCCATGGTTTATTTTTCTACTGGACTCAGCGATGCGTAAGCCCTTCATGCCGGCCAGGTCAAACCCATTTTAAAATCAGCTGGGACATAAATAATACACAGGGAGGAGGCTTGGTCTTGAGAGGAGCAGAAGCCGGGAGGCAAGGAACGGATACACCTGCTGAGGGCAGGGAGGGGCAGAGGGTCCAGGGGAGGAGAAGAGGGAGGTGGGGCTCACCCCCGGGGCCTTAGGCCATAGCAGACAGGGTGGGGCCTGGGATGGGCTTGGGAGACAGACCAGGGTCCCAGCTCTGACGCCTCCTAGCTGTGTGACCTAGTACAACAGGTCCTTTCATCTATCTAAGCCTCTGCGTCTTCATCTGGAAAATGGGGAAAATAATCTTGACCTCACTGGGCTTTTTTGAGAACCAAATGAAACGACCCATCTAAAGTGCCTGATCCAGGAGCTTGGACGTGACCCTGTAATGTCTGTTTGGCAACTGACCCTCCCCCGACCCCCAGAACATGGGGTTCAGCCCCCTCACTGGGCATGATAGTCAAAATATTTAACAACCCGTGTGGCCCACACCGTGAACCGGCACGGTCATACACCAGTGCTCCTGCGTGCGTGCCGGCAGATTTCAGCCCTGCCCCTCCCGGCCTGGGCTCCCGGGGAAACACCTCTCAGACTGGTGGTCCACGGTGTTCATGTCGCCCTCGGAGACCCTGAACTCGCTGATGCGGATCCACTCGTCGAAGTCGACCCCCACCGAGTAGTAGACGTAGAGCTTGCCATTGTGCCGGAAGCTGGGGTGGAAGGCGATGCCCAGGAAGCCCCGCTCGTCGCCCTCCCAGGGCGAGGTGAGCACGGCCCGGCTGATGTTCAGGAAGGGCTTCTCGAGCCGCGAGTGGTCGGGCAGGTAGGCCCACACCAGCCCCAGCTGCTCGGCCACGAAGAAGCGGTGGGTGCCGTCGCGGGCGTGGACCATGGCCACGGGGTTGCGCAGCCCGTTGGCCACCTCCTCCAGGCACAGCTGCAGGCAGCCCTTGGCGTCGGCCAGCACGCGGCCCAGGTTCGAGTTGAGGTTCTCGTTGACCAGCAAGCGCGGGAAGCAGTAGTCCACATCGTCCAGGGACAGGTAGCGGCAGAACTTGGCGCGGTTGCCCTCCAGCGCCCAGAGCTCGCGGTCGGGCGAGAGGTGGCGGAAGAGGCCCCGGCAGGTCTGCCACACGTCCAGGCAGTAGTCCTCGCAGAGCCCGGGCACCGTCCGCAGAGGTGTGGACGGGTCCTCGGCGTCGTAGAGGTGGGCGGCGTAGGGCGAGCACTCCTGCAGGGACAGGGATGGCTCAGGGTGCTTTGTGGTGGCACTTGCCAGCTATGTGAGCTGAGGCGGGTCACCCCACCTTCTAGAACTCAGGCTGCTGATCCATAAAATGGGGACAATGCCATGCGCGTATTATGATTGGTTTCAACTATAGCAGGGCTGTATCCCCTCCCCCTCTTTCCTTTTCTCTTGCCTAATGCTTCTGTTAGAACAAATAACCACAATATTCTTACTACTACTAATAACGAAAGCCTCAGCAGCTACTCTTGAGCACCTACCGTGTACCAGAAAGGATCTGAGGCACTTGTATATACTTCCTCTTTTTTGGTGAGGAAGATTGTCCCTGAGCTAACATCTGGGCCCCTCTTCCTCTATTTTGTATGTGGGTCGCTGCCACAGCATGGCTTGATGAGCGGTGCGTAGGTCCGTGCCTGGGATCCGAACCCACGAACCCCTGGCCGCCAAACAGAGACTATGAACTTAACCGCTATGCCACCGGCCTGCCCCTAGACTTCCTCTTCTAATATGATGCCTCTGCCCCATATCTGCATGATTTATTTACTCCTTCACTTTACTTAGGGCCCTAAATAAAGAGGGGCACCTCCTGAGAGGTCTTCCCTGACCACCCATCCACAACCCCGTTTCCCCCGGCCTCTCATTCGGCTTAAAAAAACAAAACATCAAAAAGCTTAACATTCCTTGATAGTATAATAAAAACTAATGTTTACATGTGTATTGTCTGTCTTCCTCAGAATATAAATTCCCTGAGGGCAGGAATTTTGCCTGTCTTGGTCACTCCCTATCCCAGAGCCTACAACAATGCCTAGCACATAGTAGGCCTGTAGTGGAGGCTGGGGGAAGGTGCCAAACAGTAACCTACCCCTGGCCAGCCCTTAACGGTGAATAAGGGCTCCTACCTCCAGAGCCCACGAGGGAGAGAGTGCTACAGATGGGGAGACTGAGGCAAGGCCCTGGTGCCATTCAGGGCCATTCAGTCAGTGGAGGAGTCTGGGTTTGGTCTCGGGCCGACCCCCTCTCCCCAGCACAGGTATGTGTGCGAGTGCGTGATAATGCCCAATGCCCACAGGGACCCCTGACCCAGGTCGCGTGCCAGAGTTGACAGCTGGGGTTGGAGGGCAGGAGGGAGAAGCGGGGTCTTTCACAGCTCCCCTGGCTGGCTCCTACCTACACACCCCCAAGCCTAGTTAAGTGCCCCCCACGCTGCGGCACCTTCCCTGCACCCCACCTGCCCAGAGGCCTCAGCTCTCCCACCTTTGTAAGGACCTCCCTCGGTCAGAGCCCCCGACCTGCGCAGGTGTAATTATTTGACTGTGTCCGACACACCCCCCTCCACCATAAGCTCCCCAGGCCAAGGCCTGGTATGACTCAGCTGTGGGCCCTCGGAGGCCTCGGGGGTGCTCCTCCCGAGGTAGGGGAGGCACTGACAGGAGCACACACTCCCCCTCCCAGGCAGGGCCAGGCCGGGTTCCAACAGGAAGCCTTCAGGGACAGTGGGTGGCAGGCTGCCCTCTTGGCTGTGTCCTTAGGCTCCAGGCCAGGGCCGCTCCCTCCCGTTACACGATTGTGGCTTTTGGTCATGCCACGGCCTGTCCTCCTGGCCCGTCTACTGCTACTGTGGGGCTGTGGCCACTTGGTGATATGTGCCTGCGGGTCGGGTCAGTCACTGTCCCAGGCGTGACAGGGACGCCATGTTTCACACGCACCACTCGGCCCACAAGTGGGCCAGATGGCCAGGTCCGGGCCTCTGTGCAGGGTCGTCCCTCCCACGGCTCCACTGGAGCCTCCTGTGAGTCCAGCCAGTGGCTGTGACTGGACCAGGGAGGGTCCGTGTGCACACACCTCATTGACTCTTTGCAAGGTAGGGACATCGTGACTCCTATGTGTAGATGAGGAGGTGAGGCTCAAAGAAGGCCATGTGCCGAGAAGCGACCAAGCCAGGGCTCAGACCCAGGCCTCGTGACGCCCAGACCGGGGCTCTTCCCTGATCAGTCAGCAACGTTTCATTCAACAAGTGTATACTGGACACCGACTATGTGCCAGGCACTGTGCTGGGCTCCAGAGACACAGCGGGGAGCAGAACAGACTTCTGGAAGCCAATCTGAGCACCCTCCACTCATCAAAGCCCAGCTCAGAACTAGAGAGAGCAAGGAGGGCCTCCAGGGAGCCAGGGGGGAATTTCAGCATCCATGCCTCAAAGCACTGGGTCTGGCAGGCCCTTACTTATGGCCCATGAACTCTTACTTACTCACAATGCAAACCTGGGGCCCAGCCCTGAGTAGTCCAGAAGCAGGAAATGACAAGAGGGTGCAGTGATTGCTGCTGGCAAGGGGGACAATCAGCAACTAGCCTCACAGTGGTCAGCGGGGAAAGGCAGCAGAAAACCCTTGGAAAACCAAGCCGGTATCACACCGCTCAGCTGCTGGGCCATTCAGCACAGAGACAAACAGCCTGCCTACTTCACTGCCCAAGGATGCCACTGTCCAGTCGCTGACACTCAGGACTCATGGTGCCGAGTCCCACAGGCTTCTAATGTCCACCACCTATTCTTTAGGGAGACCGAGTCTTGGTGCACAATGTTCTCTTGTAGGACATTCCCTCCTTGCCCACTTCTGCATCTGCTAAACTGCTATGCAAGTCTCAAGGCCCAACTCAAAAGTCTTCTTTTATTCCTCCATTGTCCCAGGAACCTGACTACCCCTGGGCCCCTCTGGATATTCTCACAGCCCTCTGTGCATATCTCAGAGACAACATGCACCAAATTGTAATTCTGCAGCGTGTGGGGTGAGCTCTCCGTTTCTGCTGTCACCTCACCATTGCCAGACATGGCTCAGCTGGTCTGCTTAGCGAGGACTTAATTATCTCTTTGCATTCTGTCCACCCCACAGACAGTGGGACCCTCCAGGGCAGGGACCCCAGGGCCCAGCACACAGTGGGGCTTCAAGAAGGCAGGCAATATGGCAAAGTGCTTAAGAGAAGGGCTTTGGAGTCACAGCACACTGGAGACTGAGTCTACCATTCCCTGTGTGACCTTGGGCAAGTTTCTTAACCTCTCTGTGCCTATGTCTTCATCTGTAAAAGGGAAAAGGAATTCCAATGTCATAGAGCTGTTAGGAGGAATAAATTGAGATGACAATTGTATTTGTTCAGTGAATGCTCAAACAAAATGGGCTATCGAGATGTAACTCAATGTTCCCTCCTCCAGGAAGTCTTCCCTGACTTTTCCAGGGAAAGTGTGGTCTTTCTCCCTCTGCCCCCTTAGTATTCGGTCACCCTTGGGAAGGCTTTTGTGCATTCTGGTAATCTATGTGTCTGTCTCTTGAAGTGAACAAGGGGACTTTAGAGGCTGGGCCAGCAACTTGCCAACTGCCTCTAGGCCCAGCACGCAGCCCAGGGCCAACTTCTCACAGGCCCTGGGGAAATGTCTGCCCAGTACATGAGACTGCAGAGTACGTTCCACATAGATTTCCATCAGAAACCAGGCTTTGATGACTTCAGGTTCTCAGGGAGGCAATCTCAGTTATAGGGTAAGTTCATCATGTGCAATGACTCACTCCAACTACACTGGGGACCGGATGCCACATGTCACAAGCTGTCTTTTCTCCTGATGACACAGGCATCAGCTGGATGAGGGCAAAGCCCCAAGAAAGAGTGAGAAGGGGCCGGGAAGGACAATTGCCCTCCAGGCTAAGGAGCCATCCTGGGTATCTGTAGGAGTTGTGGGTGCCAGAGGGGGGCAGGCTCTGGAGGGGACCGTGGGTGTGATGGGGCAGGCTCTGGAGGGGACTTTGGGTGCGGGCATGTTTCATGGTTTTTCTCCTGTCTGGAGTCCATCTCCCTAAGGCAGATGTGAATGCCTGAATACCATTATTGACTGAAACTTGTAAATAAGGCGCTTCAGCCACCTCCCTCAGTGGAAATCAGGAGGCGCTGAATCCAGACGCAGCCTTGGCTGACAGAGAGTGCAGTCTTCTGGCCAGCGCTCTCTTGCCCTCCCACGAGGCCCTGCCAGGGAACTGTGATCCAGCCTCTGCTTCTCTCTCCAACCTCACTCCAGACATGAGGTCACTCCCAGAGACGTCTTGGTGAGGTGCTAGCGGCCATTCCACCGCTGGTTGCTCAAGGCCAGGCCGTCCTGGGAAGGTTCCCAAGGAGAGAGGGGAGCCTCTGGCCAGGAGAGAGGTAGTGGACTGACCCTTCTCTTCCCCCTCCTCAGACCTGCCCACCGTATTTGCCCTGCGGAACCCGGCACGCGGTAAGTGCTCCATAAACAAATGTGGAGTGGACGCATGAACCCTGCTATGTGACCGGGGCTGGGAAGACCACAAGACCCGGTCCCGAGGAGCCCCCAGGCTGGTGAGGGAGGTGGATGCTTGACCAGACCATTCTGACTCTCCTGAGATGCACAGCATGGGGGCTCAGTGAGTGGCCCCCCCTTTGCATTCTGGAGCTCCCCAGGCCCCCATCCGCTCCCGGCCCCTCTTATGTCCCACCCAGATGGCCTGCTCACATTGGCAATGAGTGTAGTCCAAGTGCCCACCAAGGCCACCACTGGGCTGTGTGACCACAGAGCAAGTCCCTGTCTCTCTGGGCCTTCCCTGAATGGGCCTCTGGGCCTAGCTCAGTCCACGCCCAGGGCCGGGCAGCCAGTGGGGAGCAAGGAGACAGTAGAGAAATCCAACCTGAATGGTCCACTGAGCCCCTTGTGTGTGTCACTTAGTCTGTCCATGTGACAACCCTGGGGGGTGGCTAAGATTGCCCCCATTTTAAAGATGATGCAACTGAAGTGCAGCGGCGACCTGCCCAGGGTCACGCAGCCAGGAAGGCGCAGAGCCAGGATCAAACTCCGGTATGTCTGACTCCAAGCCAGACCCCCCCCCCCCCCCCCCCCCGGCTCCCCACAGCGCCTGCCCCCTGCTGGCTGAAGGCTGGGACCCTGCCCTGTCCCCCTCCCGGGACCCCCTCCACCCTCAGTCCTCTCACTGCCTCTCACCGTGATCCAGCCCGGTGCTGCGCCAGGGCCAGCCTTAGTGCTTCCCAGTCTTGACCCCATTACCGGCCCGGGTTCCTGTCAGACACTGGGAATCACACCCACGCAGGAGGAAAACGAACAGCTAAAGCACATTCTGCCGCCGCACCTGCCCTCAGAGGGGAGGTGCGGTCAGAGAGGTTTCACCAAAGAGGTGCCACTCAGGTGGTCCTGAAGGATGAGAGCGCCTCTGCCGGGTGGGCGCCATTCCAGGGAGGGGCACAGCACGAACCAGGTGGGGGCCCGGAGCGCCTGGGGCATCGCGACTGGGGCATCAGAGGCTGCCCCCTCAGGGCGGGGGAGGGGCCCTCATTGGGAGCAGTGTCCCCCCAACCCCGTCGACAAACCCAAGCTAGATCGTTGACCGTGGCCTCTGCAGGGTCCCGCGGCTCCAACGTCCCCGGGGCAGCGCGGGGGAGCGCTGAGGGGACAAAGGCTTCCCACTCTGGTGCCCGGATAAGGACGGGCTCCCGGGGCAGTGGGGGGCCGACTCCAGGAGGTCCCAGGGCAGAGGGGCCCCCAAACTCAGGGAGTGATGACATCATCTGTCCATCCCTCCTGCTTCAGGAGGAGAAACTGAGGCCCAGAGAAGGCCCAAGTCACAAAGTGAATGGCAAAGCCCAGGGCCGTCCCAGGATGCCCGTCTCCTCGCCCCGCGCCGAATTACTCGCGCTGGGGGCCTCGGGTTCCAAAGCCTGCTGCCCAGTCTGGATGCTCTCCCCAGCGGGCTCGCCCCGCCGCCCTCCCCGCGGCGCCCGAGGCCGGCGCGCGCCCGCTCACCTGGCACAGCAGGTCGAGCGCGTAGCCGGCACACGCGGCCCACTC